CTTTCAAATTTTCTAATAGTCGCCTGCATATGAATGAATAATTTTTATAAAAGAACAATTCTCTAGAGAATATCACGTGGGGTATAACGGGGCAACAAGCCACGCAAGCTACAAAGCTCTATTGTTAAGACGAGATCAGTTTGTGATATGGAGTAAGTCGTTCCTTCATGCTACAAGAACGTTTTCCTTCATTGAAAGGAAATTTAGAAATGACATAACTTAATGACGCGTACTCATTTTATTTCTAATCAAGTTCCTAGTTTTTCTCTGAATGGCACACTTGGCGTTGTACATATTCATCCAAATATACTTCGTTTAGAAGCCTATTGACTATATGTTTTTATTACATTTATATATTTCTTTTAGCCAAGAATCTCGTCATCACAAGATGTTGATCGTATGCAACGTGGATTTGAAAATGCGCAGCAACTATCTCAGAGAGCCTGCATTTGTGGACTCTCTTCATTTAAGTGTTGTTATATCAAACCAATGTTACGAGAGGTCAGTCAAATATGCGTACAGCATAATATATTCTCCCCAGGCCCCCAATAAAGGCAGGGTTCAAAAACTCAAGCTGGGTCCGCAATATTTTATCTGAAATACCTGTGTTAAGTGTCTATAACACGATATTTCAAGTCATTCTTCTACTGATTTCGTTGAGCATTTGACAAAAAAATACAATTATGAAAAATCGAACCCTTTTGATATTTGTATTTCATTTATTGTCCTTTTTAAAGCTTTCCTAAAGTACATGTATATTAATACCAAAAAATGTCATAACTATATGACTGGATTTATGAAAACCGTGTCAACACTTTGCATCAAATCACCCATATGCACTTGGATTCCACGGCTCCTAAGGCCTTAAAATCAATCCATGCGATGACAAAAATAGAGAGGAGAGCATGAAAAAACAGACTGACATTTCTTTTATTTTTGATATCGTCTACTTGGGAGCAGGGCGTGATTTCTTTAACAACGTGTTTATAAATGCAGACGTATATAAAGTGCGATATAACGTAAATAAGGATCGCTAAAGTTGAGATCAATTAACCTGGATTACGAACGACAAACTTCAAAATATGGCAATTTTCCTTCACGTTGTAACGTTCCTTTAAAAGCACCCTTGCCATCGGGAAAAATTTGCTGACTCAAACCCTCTGAGAAAAATGGAAACAGTTCACATTGGCAGGAATTTGACTTATCTAGAGTGAGACCCATTCCCAAATAACGAAAATTATTTCACTTTTATACACAATACTGCGCATAATCCGAAAAAGGTAAATTGCTACGTCGAGTTGTTCCTTTTACGTTACGTTCAAGCCAAAACGGAATAAATCAAACAAATGCTCAAACATTAGTGAACTATCTTACATTAAAAATTACCATGACGACGGTAAAAGACTGCAAGCTGATAAAGACACCCGTTAATTTTGTCTTTAATTAGAGTCCGATGACTTCCCTCGTCTTTTATTGTTTTTTTTTTTTTTGTGTTTGTTTTTTTTCTTTTTCTTTTTTTATTGTTATCAAACTTATTTCATTGTTATCAAAACAATTTCTTTTAGCCTGGCAAAATATAATCTTGACATGCTAACTACAATTCAGTGATAAGTAATAGGGGTCAATGGACTTGCTTTGGAGCTTTCAGCACTTATAGCTAGAATTATGGCTGTATTTAACGAGTTAAGCTGCTGCCACAGTGAACCTGTGTACTTGTTTATCAAAAAAGGGGAAAAAACACTATAACGCAACTGAAAAATTGTGATATTGAGGTATCAAAGCAGAAGCATTGAAAAATGCTCGAAACCGTTGTCAACCATCTTAAAATGCATCATTTAAGGATAACCAAAAAACTAAAACGTTAAATATTTTCCTTCACAGATTAAGAGGGCTCGTCACAGTTTTGCAGGGGTTAGGAAAGCTGACATCGGAGATAAATCAATAAATAAATGGCTGCAACCGGAAGGCCTTCATTAACGATGATATGGCGAAAGGCATTCATCTGCTACTACGAAAAATCTATAGGGACAATTTAAAGGCTCGAGATTTGTTGTGTTGCTGTTGAGGACATTTCCCCAAGCAGATTTGCTAAAAGAAGACGATGCAAGACCGCTTAATTTATTCGAAGTCGACGACGTTTTGAAATAAGTTGCCAGTGCCGTTCCTGATCTTGTACATGTCCATCTTTGATAGCTTGTTAGCGATCTTAGTAAAATATATATATATATAAAAAAAAACAACAACAACAGCATCAGTAGTGATTAACTTATAAGACTAAATAGCAATATTTAGCATTACAGCAATATAATACAACTTCGGAGGTATTGTTGACCGAGGCGTTGTTAATGATTGCTTGACTGTCACGGTGTCAAATCACGACGACTCTCAAGTTATTCTACTCATTCAACTCAAAAACAGCTTGCTCACCCAAAGCATATAACTTTTCAGGGGCAGGTCAGAGGAGGCGAATTTGATTCAAATCCAAGAGAGCTTGATGAAATAGCTTTACACAATACCCTCCCAAATTGCAAAGTGTAAGACCCATTGTTTACACGTTCAACGAGATTCCTTTTTTTTTTTTATTGTTAAACACATAATTACTTACATTGCATTACTCTACTTACAACACGACACAATACTTAACCTACTTACAATACACTACATTATTGTTATTATTATTATCATTATTATTATTATTATTAATATTGTTATCATAATAATTATTATTATTATTCTTTCTAATGCTTTTACTGTCTTACAAACGTCACTTACAATACATAAAAAAACAACTATTTACAATACTTGGCATTACCTTACTTACTTACAATACGCAATAATGACTTACACATTACGTTACTTCAGGAGTTACAATACAATGTAATTACTTAAATATAGAAAAAAGCAACAAACAAGCTAAAAAGAGACCTCACAACAAATTACTAAGGGAAACGCCTTAAGTGGTGAGAAGGAATTTCCACTTCTGTTGAAATTCCCTTTCACCATTCAACGTGGCAGCAATATATTATCCTGCACTAATGAGATGAAGTCGCCGAAAACGAACATAGTACTATTTAGAGCGTTGATATAAAGAAAGTATTTGCCTAGCATAATGAAGTGGTTGAGGGTCAAACGGTGAGTACAGGGACGAGTAATTCCAAATAATACCTCTGCCTCGGAGAGAAGTAAACTCGCGTTACTTACGGTAGAATACCAACGAGATTCCTTTTTGATAAATGGAATTCTGCACGACTTATATGAGAGGAACTTTTAAAACTAATAGTAGTTTCGTTTATATTCGAAACAACTATCTTTGCATATTTTTAGATTTAAAGAAAAGAACATACGTAAATATGTCAAAATAATGCATCAGTACCTACTCAGGCCCAGTCCACACCCCAACCGGAGGAATTTGAAAACGGCTTTTTCACCCTGCTAACGCATCAGATTTTTTCCGTCCACACTACCCTGGATAATTTGACAACGTAACAATGAATTGTCATTTTGGATTTATGTTTGAGGGAAACTCGTGTAGGGAAATCACGTGATTATCGCCACTTCATCGTTTTTGGAAAGCTCCGTTTTTAAGATGTTTTCCGTCCACTCGAAAACGAAGAGCGAGCGTCTTCAAATTGATCCTCCGGTTTAAAGAACGTTTTTCGAGAAGCTCCGTTTTCGTGACGGATTAGTGTAGACGCTAGGCCTACCGTAGAAATAAAGCTTCGTTTTCAAATTTCAAACCTTGATAATTGCGTCACTGTGTATTTTTATACCGTGTATACCGGTTTATCTACCTCAACAATTCCTTTAGCATTGAGGGTTTAACTGGAAATTTGATCCTCTGGGTGTGACGAGTACTTGGGGAATGAGTATCGCATCTAATCATAGAACACTAAAAATTAAAGGAGAAAGATATGTCTCAATCCATATCATTGTAATTTGCAAACTATTACTCAATAGAGAAATTTCGATATATTAAACCCCACAAACTCTGTAGTTATTCCCCAGAGCCTCGAGTTGAGGTCTATTGTTTTAGGCTGAATTTTAATACATCGAAATTGGTTTATTTAACCTGCATATACACAGAAACTAGTAATAATCGTTTTAAATACCACTTTACCGCTTGTGTACTTTTACACGTATATAAATGGGCTAGTAGCTAATTACATACGTTATCCTTCTTACAGTTGTTTAATTTTTTAAAAGAAGCAAAGAAAAAGAGGCAGTAGGGCAAGGCAAAGGAATGCAGCGATTTCAAAATTAGGTATTTTGAAACCTTCAATAAGAAAAAGAAATTTAATGGATTTCATTAAATAACTGAGATGAATAAGCAAATAAACAAGAAACCTAAGCAAACAAGACCCAAGGAAGAAAAGCACGTTTGTTTTGTTTTGATTTGATTTTCTGCCCGGCTGTTTATTTGTGTGTGCGCGTTTGGCGCGGCCTTTCTTTTTATGCTTTTGCTGGTAGTTTTGTTCAATAATAATAATAATAATAATAATAATAATAATAATAATAATAGTAATAATCGAATATTTACCCAGGATAATCCTTCAGTACAAGGTACCGTTATCAACAAGGTCCTGTTAAGGTAACCATATCTTAGGAGTTATTATTTTTGTCATAGCCCTTCGACTGAGTAGTTCTCAGCCATAATTTACTTGGGTTAATTCTGGGTAAGAGTAGAGCATTATCATTATCATTATCATTATCATTATCGCTCGTAACTTGATAATTTTTTCAATATTTTATCGTCTTGTAACTATTCGATGATTTATAAATAACATTATTGTCATTAAATTATTAATATTGTTATTATTCGAATGAGATTAAATTTCGATAAACATTTCAAAATAAAAATGAGCGATAGAAATTTTACACAACGTTTCGATGTCGTCATGACATCATTATCAAGTGACAAGAAAATTCTTGTCACTTGATAATGATGTGATGACGACATCGAAACGTTGTGTAAAATTTCTATCGCTCATTTTTATTTTGAATTGTTGTTATTATTAAAATTATTATTATTATTAAAATCGTTTAAGCAAACTGATATACTCAAAGATAGTACATTTTATTTGTTGTGCTCCTCGTTCTGTTAACTCTATATTGCTCAAGTATTTACAAGTAGCTAATGTTACTTAGTAAAAACACATATGGTCCAGATCTCGATTATTTTTATCTTTTGTTCGTCAATGGGCCATTTCCGAGTTACGTTGTGCCTCTGTTTCAAAACGAGGCCTCGTGAACAAATGAGTTTTATCTACATGAAAATGAACCTGTAGGTGGAGCACATTTTTAAGACTCGTTTTGGCACAGAGGCAAAAGGCAACTTGGAGATGGTCTATTCACGCCCACTATGTTAAGAACGTTTCCAAACACATATGTGTTTACAAATACTCAAAACGTGATCCCTCTCCGGTTTTTTTTTGTTTTGTTTTTGGAAGCAAAATGACCCAACTTTGAAGGCTTGTAAAATCATCAATTTCCAACATTAAAGTCTCAAACTTGAAATCGTGTATTTCAAACGATATATTTTATTAATTTTAAATATTCGTACTTAAAACGACCTTACTGCGCCTGCGTAAGGTTGTGTAAAATCAGCCTTAAGGGGAGCGCTTTACTGACTGTTTTAAAAGTACCTGTACAATCTCGAAAAAAAAATTTCAAAAGCAAATAAAAGTCATGTCTCTGTTTTCTTTCTTCAGTTGTTGTTCCACTGGCTGATTTTGGTATTATTATTATTATTTTTTTCCTTTTCTCATTCCATAGTGAAAACAGTGCTAACAGAGTGATCACCAAAGTGAACTCTGACCATGATATGCCTGTAAGAGAAAACATGGTTGCAAATTAATCTTTCTGCCCATCAGTTTTGATATACATTTCAGTCAAAAAAAGTTTCAAAACTCCATCATATTTGAGGCTTGAAACTCAAAACTTTCTCTGCCTTACTTCATGACATAAAACGTTTCCAACTTCCCTTGCTAGAACACAAAATAATCCATGAAATTTCCTACATTATCGTGGTAAATAAATTTGCCTTTTTAAGTGAAAAAATTTAAAGGTAAAAATAAACACAACTCAAAATAACTTAAAAAGCTGTTTAATTTTAATTTGATATTGTTATATTTTCATGAGGCAATATGAAAAGAGACAGCCAAAAGTAATTAAGCCACAACCAAATTACAAAATTTAAAACTAAAATCTTAAAAAATCGACGGGGCCAAGCCATTTACAGGCTGAAAGGAAAATCAGTATTTAGCTAAAAACAGAACTCTTGACTGCCATGTAAAGGCTCGCATGGGATTTGTACCATAGCATGTAAACTAACCTTTGGAACCACTCGCTTCTTTCTACAACACTTTACAGAAGTTAAACCGCAAATGCAGGTGGAAGACATAACACGATTTTCAAATACTTTATCTTGTTGCATGTGCATGTTTGTTTGACTGTCCTCTGTGTGGCTGTCATCAAAAGTCTCCAGTGGCGTTACAGTTGGCTAAAAGATGAAATACCAGAGCAAAATTTAAAAAACTCACGATCAAAACAATTGTGTAACTGTAATATGTTCTACATTGAAAAAAAAAAAGATATGTAACTTCAACATCTCCCTTCCTCGTTCCCAGATAAAGATTTTGCGCTGGAATGAAGTCACTAAAATGAAGGTAAATGAGGATTTTCCTTTGACATATTTTTGTATGACTTTTGAAATATTCTAAATTTAATTAATAATATTATAAAAACAAATGAACGTTTAAATGGACAGTTCATTTATGAGCTTTGAGATGAACACATAAATTGAGTGAACCATTAACGCAAGACTGTCCAAACGATACACTTATGCCACAAGTTACACATCACAAAGATATCAGCCCAACATTGCTCGCCTCAAATGAAAAGTTTCATTCATTGTAGATAGAACATTATTTTAAGTAAAACTGTTAAAACGCAAATAAGGTAACTCTTAAACGTAATGAAATAAACCTACGTTTTCGAGCGTTCTTTTCTTCTGGCAATCACAGGGTGAGTCTTCGGCAGTGAATCGATGAGAATTTTCTAGTTGCAGAAATCTAGCAGGGTCTCCACTATATTCTCGTTGATCTAAAGCTAAGGATGACCAAATCATAAGATAAAAGGTGATGAACCGAAACATGGACGTCAGCAACATTTTTTTTTTGTGCTTTTCAGTTGAATAAACGGTTAAAAGTTTACTCGATTACAAGATTTTGATACAAGAAACTCAACGACGGAGAGCGACTTGAAAACTGGCATTCAAACCGTTTCCCGCATTCGACTTTTTTTTTTATAAGTTTTCCAAAGGTTGCAGGTGCAATGCTATAAACCGAAGTGAGGGCGGATTTGGACTTTGATTTATTTACTGTGTATATGTTTCTTGATGGAAACCCTAATGATGCTAGAGCGTGGGAGTTTACTAGCACTTAGGAGACAAGTAGAGATTAAGAGTGCGTCATTTCGACCACAGGAAGTTATACCTCATCCTACGAATTCCTCGAAGGTCGTTTACTGTTTCGAGAATTGCAAACTACACCATCATTTTAAGTTCAGCATCTTCATATTACGATTCATCAAAAGTTCACCGAATAGTCGAAAATATGAAACGACCCTAACTCGAATTTCCATTCTTCAGCCTGCTCACTTTTCGGGGATGTTCACAAGTTTAATGAACTACACACATATTAAAGTCACTCTAACCTCTAAATTCAGCCCTCGATCGTAACAAAGCTACGAATCCCTTTTAGAGTGATTGTAGCTAGCTGCAAAATGGTAGTCATGGGAAAGATATACATGCACTAAAGGCTGAATTGCAATTATTCGTTCAGTTGCTTATTTTCTTTAGTTGCCGGTATTTATAGTATTTTAACTCACAAGGGAGAGGGCGATCGATGAGAACGAAACATTTCATGGGAATGAGCACAGTCTGTTTCAAGAGCCTCGTCGACTCTCATATACAGAGTCACTGAACTAGTACTAGGCATACTTCCCAGCATGTATAGTCAGACATACTACTGTGAAAAACATTCACACATGTTGAAGTCTGATCTTTCAGGTAAAAACAAAATAAAAACCATAAAGAGAACACAGCAACACTTTTTAAAAATTAATAGCATATTTGTTGAGGACTTCACCAGCATCATTTATTGTTAAACCGACATGTAGAGTGATTTATTTGCTGATCAAATATGGATCGAGTGGCAAAAACTGAAATCAACAAAAATGGACTGATCCCCAAAATGCAGCAAAATGTCCTTAATCTTAGCTAACTAAGAATATTTAGTGGCCAAAAATATTCAGTTTTCATGTACTTTGATGCAGTATGTACTGACCCAGCGCACCAAAAGATTACGAATGTAATCTCGTTATATCTGGGCCTTTTAAAGGAAGTATTTTTGTGACTTTACCACAGCCGTTCTTAAATTGTAGCAGAGGCGATTCAATAGGACACAACAGGAAGGCGTTTCTAACTTTAAACTTCACTCTTCGCGACGTCTCAATCTTTATTAGACTAATTCCCTCAAGATACATGCAGCAAGAATGAGATTGAGATTCGCTACAGTGCTACAATACGTACATAATATTTGAAATGAAATGACGCCGGTCTGACGGTTTCAAGCACAAAACTTAACTTCAACGTATTTCCGTTTAGCGCCAATCTGCAGCTCAGGAATTTTCAGTCGTGTTCATGAAAATAGTCCTTCATCCTGTTACGAACTAGAATTTCCCTTGCAATTGAATATTCCTAAACAATTCTATTGAAGTAGTAGTGTTTCCTAGCGTTGATTCTGTAATATTAAGATTACCAAACATTGCCATTTTTGATAATGCAATTTTAGCATACTTGACGGTTGCAAAACCACGAGATCACTCTTGACGGCAGACCCATTTTAATTTTACAGAGCATAATCAACTTCGACTTACAGTTATTAAACTGGTCTTTTAATGAAGTCATAGAATCGAAGGTAAAGCGATATGTTTACGGAAAGCACAGCCACTGAAAGCGCAGGTGGTGAAAAAGCAATTAAAACCTGTGGCGCAAAACGAACGGACGCCGCTTGCGCCGAAACACGGTCTAAACATGAATTGTAGCCCTTCTACATGCTTATTAATCCACTGTTAGAAAATTTCATGCTAGCAAAGTAGAAACCAAACAAAAGATATCCACACTCTGGTGATGATCGCAAGGATAAAAAACAAGAAGGGTAGATAGTTAAATTTTAACAGCTTTTTACGTTTTTTTTTTTTTTTTTT